AGCCAGGATCCAGCCATTGCATTCCAGCTTGGGCAACAGGGGGAGACTCCATCTCAAAAATAATAATAAATAAATAAAACAGATTATTCTTGCTTATTTGAAATACCTCCTTGAATTTATTTGGAATACCTCCTTGATAATATGAAATTTAAAAAGTTATTTTCTTCCTCTTTTTAAATTTCTTGTGGTCACCCAGGAGCCAGAAAGTTATTTTGTTTCAATATTAACTTTTGGGAGGGACCCTTTGTTTTGAATTTGTTAATTATCTTCATCATATCTAATCATATTTCCTTTTCAGCTTTTTGTAAATGAAAGTCTAGATTAGTGTCATCTGATAGAACTTTCTGCAATGATAAAAATGTTCTATTCTACATGATCTAAAATGGTAGCGACTAGCCACATGTGGCTACTGAGCATTAGAAATGAGGCTAGTGCAACCAAGGGACCAAATTGTACATTTTACTTTGTTTTAATTTAGTTGAAATACGAGTAGCTACATGTGGCTGGTGGCTACTATACTCGACAGTGCAGGTCTAGATTGTTAATTATACTTGGCTAATATGGGCTCTTCCAGCAAATGTATTGATCACTATTGATTTTTTTAGCAAGACTCCATCTTTTCCTAGCCTGGGGAGTTCCAGGGAAAGTACAAAAGATGGCTGAGCTGTAGTGTAGAAAGAGACCAGGAAGGAAACCACCTTAGTATGGCTGGCAGGAAGGTGTGTATCTCTTTTGTCTTTCTGCCCCTCACCACCTCCCGTCAACACCCTCCTATACACACACACACACACACACACAGACACACACACATAGAAACATACACACACAAACACACAGTCTGGTATCCAGTGATGGCGAGCAGAAATGTTCATGCTACCACCCTCAAGAACTCATTTGTGTCTCTGTGGAGCTCTTCCCAGCTTCAGATTCATGAGTAGAGACTCTTTTAGGAATGGAGTAGAACTTTCTTTCTAACAGTGGCTTCATTGCCCCAGTAAGAAATTGTTAGTGAAAGGAAACCAAACAGAGATGCTCAGTCCTACACTGCACTTTGATAATACAAAATAATGGCACTATAAAAGTCCAAAATCTGGCTGGGCGTCGTAGCTCATGCCTGTAATCCCAAAACCTTGGGAGGCTGAGGAGGGCAAATCACAAGGTCAGGAGACCAAGACAATCCTGGCCAACATGGTGAAACCCCATCTCTACTAAAAATATAAAAATTAGCCAGGCATGGTGGTACATGTCTGTAGTCCCAGCTACTCAGGAGGCTAAGGCAGGAGAATCACTTGAACCTGGGAAGTGGGGGCTGCAGTGAGCCGAGATTGTGCCACTGCATGCCAGCCTAGGCAACAGACAGAGACTCCATCTCAAATAAATAAATAAATAAATAAATAAAATTTAGCTTTCTTATCAATGTGAAGCAAACCCAACTTACTTGGTTCTAAGTGTTGTGATGCACAGTATATAACAATCTTCCAAATGTTTCACTAAACCATGAAATCATTCAGTAAATAAACAATACATATAGCGATAGACCTGGAGGGAAATATTTAACACATATGCTAAATTAAGAGTAGAGCCTCCAGCTGGGCACGGTGGCTCATGTCCGTAATCCCAGCATTTTGGGAGGCTGAGGTGGGTGGATCACAAGGTATAGAGTTCGAGACCAGCCCAACCAACACGGTGAAACTCCGTCTCTACTAAAAATATAAAAATTAGCTGGGTATGGTGGTATGCACCTGTAATCCCAGCTACTCAGGAGGCTGAGCCAGGAGAATTGCTCAAACCTGGGAGGTAGAGGTTGCAGTGAACTGAGATTGTGCCACTGCACTCCAGCCTGAGCAACAGGGCAAGACTCTGTCTCAAAAAAAGAAAAAAAATAGAGCCTCCAAATTGGCTGCAACTTCAGAAACAACCTGCACACTAGCAACTGGGTAAAACCAAAGATACCTGCTCTTTAGGTTGAAAAAAACAGGAACAATTTTGTGATTATTTTGCTCTTTGTATATATTTTTAAGTGCTCTGTACCATTGGTAAACTAGACTTTTCACATTATTCTTGTGTGAAAAATCATCATCATTTTCTCAAAATTCTCTACCATTTCTCAAATACAACCTAAGATAAAAGACTAAATGACACTTTTAGTCTCTGATGCCTTAGATGGGAATTTCCAGGGGATTCTTCTCCTACTGGGTCTTTTGAATTGGCAAATGATACACAAAAGCAGCAGGGTAGTTATACAGGAGAAGTAACGGCTTTGGAGGAGACATCTAGGTATGTGACACATATTTGGCAGGACTTGGGTTGAGTTATTTATACCTTTGAACCTCAATTTTCTCATCTGTAAAATGAAGATACTATTATCTGTCCCATAATAATGAAAGGAACACTTACTAGTATACTTAATAATCTCTATTTTCTCCTGTTACACTTAAAAAAATCATCTGCTATTTCTAGACTTTCACACTTCCTAAAAGGGAAGGGGAAAGGTTTTTGTTTTGCATTATATCTTTGCTATTGTGAAAAGTGCTGCAGTGAACATATGTGTGCATGTATCTTTATAACAGAATGATTTACATTCCTTTGGGTATATACCCAGTAATGGGATTGCTATGTCAAGTGGTATTTCTGCCTCTAGATTTCTGAAGAATCGTCACACTATCTTCCACAACTGTTGAAGTAATTTACATTCCCACCAACAGTGTAAAAGCATTCCTTTTTCTCCATAACCTCACCAGCACCTGTTTTTTCTAGACTTCTTATTAATTACCATTCTGACTGATGTGAGATGATATCTCATTGCAGTTTTGATTTGCATTTCTCTAATGATCAGTGATGTTGAGTTTTCTTTCATATGTTTGTTGGCTGCATGAATGTCTTCTTTTGAGAAGTGTCTGTTATGTCCTTTGCCCACTTTTTAATGAGATCGTTATTGCTGTTGTTTTGTAAATTTGTTTAAGTTCCTTGTAGACTCTATATATTAGACCTTTGTCAGATGGACATATTGCAAAAATTCTCTCCAATCCTGTAGGTTGTCTGTTCACTCTGATGATAGTTTCTTTTGCTGTGCTCAAGCTCTTTATTTAATTAGATCCCATTTTTCAATTTTTACTTTTGTTGCAATTGCTTTTGGCATTTTTGTCATAAAATCTTTGCCCATGCCTGTGTTCTGACTAGTACTGCTTAGATTTTCTTCTAGGGTTTCTTATAATTTTGGTTTTTACATTTATGTCTTTAATCTATTTTGAGTTAATTTTTGTATAAAGTGTAAGGAAGGGGTCCAGTTTCAATTTTCTGCATATGGCTAGCCAGTTCTTCTTGCAACATTTATAAAACAGACATTCCTTTCCCACTGCTTGTTTTTGTCAGATTTGTAGAAGATCAAATGGTTGTAAGGGTGCAGTTTTATTTCTGAGTTCTCTATTCTGTTCCATTGGTCTATGTGCCTGTTTTTGTACAAGTATATCATGCTGTTTGGGTTACTATAGCCTTGTAGTATAGTTTGAAGTCAGGTAGCCTGATGCCTCCAGCTTTATTCTTTTGCTTAGATTGTCTTGGCTATTCGGGCTTCTTTTTGGTTCCATATAAATTTTAAAATAGTTTCTTATAATTTTGTGAAGAATGTCAACAGTAGTTTAATGGGAATAGCATTGAATCTATAAATTACTTTGGGCAGTAGAGCCATTTTCACAATATTGATTCTTCCTATCCATGAGCATGGAATATATTTCCATCTGTTTGTGTCCTCTCTGATTTCCTTGAGCAGTGGTTTGTCGTTCTCTTTGAAGAGGTCCTTCACTTCACTTGTTAGCTGTATTCCTAGGTATTTTATTCTTTTTGTAGTGATTGTGAATGGGAGTTCATTCATGATTTGGGTTTTGGCTTGCCTGTTGTTGGTGTATAGGAATGCCAGTGATTTTGCATATTGATTTTCTACCCTGATATTTGGCTAAAGTTGCTTATCAGCTTAAGAAGCTTTGGGCTTAAAAAAAAAAAAAAAAAAAAAAAGAAGCTTTGGGCTGAGGCAATGGGATTTTCTTTTTTATTTTTTTTTTGAGACAGAGAGTTTCACTCTTGTTACCCAGGCTGGAGTGCAATGGCGTGATCTCGGCTCACCGCAACCTCCGCCTTCTGGGTTCAGGCAATTCTCCTGCCTCAGCCTCCTGAGTAGCTGGGATTACAGGCATGCGCCACCATGCCCAGCTAATTTTTTTTTTTTTTAATTTTTAGTAGAGGCGGGGTTTCACCATGTTGACCAGGATGGTCTCAATCTCTTGACCTTGTGATCCATCCACCTTGGCCTCTCAAACTGCTGGGATTACAGGGATTTTCTAGATATAGAATCATGTCATCTGAAAAGAAGAGTAATTTGACTTCCTCTCTCATTATCTGAATATGCTTCATTTCTTTCTCTTGCCTGACTGCCCTGGCCAGAACTTCCAATTCTGTGTAGAGCCAGAGTGGTATGAGAGGGCATCCTTGTTTTGAGCCAGTTTTCAAGGGGAATGCTTCCAGCTTTTGTCCATTCAGTATGATATGGGCTCTGGGTTTGTCATATATGGTTTTTATTATTTTGAGGTATGTTCCTTCAATATCTAGTTTATTGACAGTTTTTAACATGAAAGGATGTTGAATTTTATCAAAGACCTTTTCTGCGTCTATTGAGATAATTATGTGTTTTTTGTCTTTAGTTCTGTTTATGTGATGAATTACATTTATTGATTTGCATATGTTGAATCAACCTTGCATCCCGGGTAAAAGCCAACTTGATCATGGTGGATAAACATTTTGATGTAATAAGCAACCATTTTTTGACTTGAAGATTTATTTTATAGAAATTCATATCTTTTGGTAACAAAGGAAATGTATTTCATCACCAATAAACATTTGACTGCCCATTGTTGGTAGGGTACTGAAGGGCTATGAGATTATTTCTAGAGACAATTAAACTCAATGTACAACTTACAATTTTTTTAGAAATATAAATTGTCACTTACCATGTTACCAGGGTCTCTATCAGCTCGATCTAGTTCAAAAGAATTTATTTTATTGGCACTCATTTCATCAGTGTCAGCAATGACATAATGTCTAGGTGAGTAGGCATTGGACAAGCTCCCAAGCAGCCTCAGAATCTCGGTGGTATGCCCACCTGGAAAAAACATCAGAAGTCCTAGATTAAGAAATTCACAATGGGCATATCCATTTGCCCATGTTATACCAATGTCATGGTTTCAGGTGGGGGGAGGGCACTATAATTGCATATTTCTCAAAAGACACAGGAAACTTTGAAAACAATAAATCTATGCCCTTGTATAAATACAACTTTTTTTTTTTTTTTTGAGACAGAGTCTCGTTCCATCACCAGGCACTAGGCTGGAGTACAGTGGTGCAACCTCAGCTCACTGCAACCTCCGCTTCCCGGGTTCAAGCAATTCTCCTGCTTTAGCCTCCCGAGTAGCCGGGACTACATGCGTGCACCACCACGCCCAGCTAATTTATGTATTTTTAGCAGAGACGGGGTTTCACCATGTTGGCCAGGATGGTCTCAATCTCTTGACCTCGTGATCCGCCTGCCATGGCCTCCCAAAGTGCTGGGATTACTGGCGTGAGCCAGCGCACCTGGCCATAAATACAACTTTTATATAAAAAGAAGATACTACATGTATAAAAATAAAATCAGCACTAGCAGTAGGTACTAAAGAAGGCACCAAATAGTATAAGATGTAGCTCGTTATCAAGAAGACTGGTGAGAAAGGGGCTAGACACATGCATGAAGATAAAGAAGACATAAGACAGCAAGAAAAACTAAAATGTGGAAGGCAAGCAAATGGTTATGAAAAATCAATGCCCTAAGAATAAGGAAGATCCCTGGAAAAGGCTGAGATGACTTGAAAGGAGAAGATAATGGACAGATAGGAGTAGGGAAGCCACTGGGTGGAGATGGGGATTGTTAGTGCATGAGATGACAAGATCTGAAACGTGTTCAAAGAGTGGCAAGAATACTGGGAATAAAGGTACAGGTGACATAAGGTCAGGAAAGTAGTATGGGAAAAGGGAAGCCAGTCACTGAAGGTTCGATGTAGAGAAGTAAGGTGAAAGGAGCATGAGCACGGACCAGCAGAGCCTGGACCTTCCTAAGAAACATTTTTTGTTCACCACTGTAACCCCAGCTCCTATTAGAGGTCTCAGCACACTGCAGGTTCTCAAATATGTATCAGCTTTACCAAACGAGTAATGTTCAGTTTCTGAAATCATATAATCTCCAAAATTTTAATATTTTAATTTCAAACACATACATTTAAAAATCCCCTGTGTCCACTGAGATTTCCTTCATGAAAACAACAATAGAATGTCTACCTATCTAAAAACCATTTAAGCAGAAGAGCCAAACTCCTTATCAAGGAGCCCTATCACACCTATTTCAGTCTCATTTCACAAACTCTGTGCCTCACTCAGGTTGATATCTTTAACATTCTCTGCATTCACCTTATTTGTTACTCACTCTTTGCCTGTGGTCATGCTGCTCCCCTTACCTAGAAGGCTTCCCCCACCCCACCTCCCTTATTGTTGTAAGAAAGAGTATTTAATACAAGAACACAAACGAAGGTAAATGTAACATGAGTTTCCCCCTAATATTCCCCTCCCCTCTGCCACGGAGTTTCCCTTCTGTTGCCCAGGCAGGAGTACAATGGCGTGATCTCAGCTCAATGAAACCTCTGCTTCCCAGGTTCAAGTGATTCTCCTGCCTCAGCCTCCCAAGTAGCTGGGATTATAGGTGTGCCCCATCATGCAGGGCTCATTTTGCATTTTTAGTAGAGACTGGGGTGTCACCATGTTGGTCAGGCTGGTCTCAAACTCCTGACCTCAGGTGATCTACCCACCCTGGCCTTCCAAAGTGCTGGGATTACAGGTGCGAGCCACCACGCCTGGGCCACATTGTTTTTTTATATAGTAGAAAGGAAAGGATTTCTTTCTAGATTCCAGAGGGAATTATATATAGAGAAACAAATTTGGCATAGATTTAGTGTGGATTTCAGGAATTAAAATCATACATTAACTTTATAACCTGTCACCCATCTTCTTGACTGAGGCATATAGTTTAAACACTTGGTAATTTTAGTATTTTTAGTTTTAGCCTTGGAAAAAAAAAATGTCAGGCTGGGGCTGTGGCTCATGCCTATAATTTCAGCATTTTGGGAGACCAAGGTGAGCAGATGACCTAAGGTCAGGAGTTTGAGACCAGCCTGGTCAGCTTGGTAAAACCCCATCTCTACTAAAAATATGAAAACTAGCTGGGTGTGGTGGCTCATGCATGTAATACCAGCTACTCAGGAGGCTGAGGCAGAAGAATCCCTTGAGCCTGGGAGGTGGAGGTTACGGTGAGCCAGGATGATGCTACTGCATTTCAGCCTGGTTGACAGGGCAAGACTGTCTCAAAAAAAAAAAGGAAGAAAAGAAAGAAAAAGTGGTGGCACTCCAAGTAGGTACTTGTTTTCACAACTGGAATAATTAAGGATAAAACCTAATCTCTACAACATCTTCTACACAATTAAAACTTCATTATACCTGCTTTAATAGTCCCTTTCATTCCTCTTTTTTTTTTTTTTTTAAAGGAAACCCTCACTGAATACTGTGAAAGTTTCGGAATCAAAATAGAGTTACTTGTGACAAAACGGAGCTGGGAAAGGCCATGAAGGGTTCTGAATGCTCAATCACCTGAAAACAAGAGCGATCACAAAAGACTGTACCAAAGCCACGACCTGCACAAAGGCCACTGCAGCCTTATGCAAAGCAAACATGGACTAATGGCACCCTTTTTATTGACCCCTGTAAGCAAGGATAATTGTTTAAAAATAACTTAGGTAACTCTCCCCATTTTCCCTTTGAAAACCGCTGTCTTCCCTTGCCTTTTTGAATGTCCCCATAGTTTACTTTGTATGTGTTTTCCACACTACAATGCTTACTCTTGATAAACTTACTGTCTTTGGAGAATCTCCGTTATTTAGGTTGACAACATATTCACTGAAAATTTAAGCTTGTTACTCAATAAAGTCATTAAAATGATGGACTTTGTCTTCCATTTTACTCTTATATTAAAATACATTTTTTGAGAATAAGATCCTCTAAGGTCTACCTTAAAATATATCCAGCATCCAATCACTTCTCACCATTTCTTTTTGCTACCCTCCCTGCTCCAAGCCACTATTATCTCCAACTTAGAGTATGAACACAGCTTCCTGATCTGCTCCCTGACTACTTCTTCAGTCTATCTCAACACAACATCCTGTGTAATGCTATTCGAGTTGATTGAATTATTTACATCTGTTCAAAAATCCTCCAATGGCTTCATGTCCCCTGTGGAATAAAAGGCTTCTCGTACTCTGACCCCAACTGTGTTCCCTCTTGGAGCTCCTCTTCTGTTCCTCCCCCTTACTCAGTCCACTCTAATCACTCTAGTCTCCTTGCTGTTGGCTGTCATCTCCCCAAGGAGGCTTTCCTTGACAATCTTTATCAACAGCAATGGCCCTTCCCCAAATCACAGTGTTCATCACTGCATAACTTACTACATAGTCTATTTATTTGTTTTGCTTTTTCTCTCTCTCTATCCATGCCTCACTAGAAGGCAAGCACAGTACCGTGAGGGCAGGGATTTGTGTTTGTTTTGTTACTGCTGTACCTTCTGTTCCTAGAAATAGCAGGCCCTCCTAGTGTTGAATGAAAGAATGAATGAAAGTGTGATATTAAATCTAAAATTTGCCTAAGACCATATTGTGTTTCAAAGAAAAACAGTTTTGACGAATGTTCTCTGAACCAGAAGTGGTCTACTAATAATTTTTTTTGGTTTTTGCTCTGTTGCCCAGGCTGGAGTGCAATGGTGCGATCTCGGCTCACTGCAACCTCTGCCTCCTGGGTTCAAGCGATTCTCCTGCCTCAGCCGCCTGAGTAGCAGGGTTTACAGGTGCCCACCACCAAGCCCAGCTAAGTTTTTTGTATTTCTTAGTAGAGACAGGGTTTCGCTATGTTGGCCAGGCTGGTCTTGAACTCCTGACCTCAAGTGATCCACGTGCCTCAGCCTCCCAAAGTGCTGGGATTACAAGCATGAGTCACTGCACCTGGCCTACTAATAATATTTTATGCTATCTAAAGAGTAAATGTTGCTTGGTCCTCAAGGTAAATATTGAAAATGTCTTCTTCCTCCAACATTAGGGCATGAACTATTACACTGCTTGTCTGACTTCAAGTCTTTCTTTGAATGCCATGATTCTTTCAGGCCCTTGATACCATCCTACCCTCAATAATTTGAATGAAGGCACCATTTGCCAGATGAATTCTCAATCTTAATTTAGTTTCTACTCTACCACCATCATGCAACACTATCAAGTGAATGGTTCTAACATCCATCCATTTATTCAAGTAGGAAACCTAGAAGTCACCCTTCGTCCTTCCCTCCCACTTCCTCTACTTTCAATTCACAGTTGTAGATTTAACTCCTAAAATCTCCTAATCCCATCTGAATGCATTTCCTTCTCCCATCCCCACACCTATCACTCTAGTCAGGCCATCTTTATCTGTTATCTGAAATATTCAAAAGGTGCCTATTTGTTTCTCTACTTCACTCTTTGTCAAGACATTCTTTTGACAACACTGGCTGAATGACCTTTGTGAATGGTCAGACTGAAGTGGCTGACTCCACTGAAAAAGATAAGCCAGGTGCCTGTGGTCCTAGCTACTCAGAGGCTGTCTCAGAATCCCTTAAGCCCAGGAGTTTGAGGCAAGCATGGGCACATAACAAGACTCTGTTTTAAAAACAAAAATAGAAAACTTCAAAAGCTCCTTTTGCTACAAAGACTAATAACATTCACCATTTATTAAATGCTTATATAAAAAGAAAAGAAAATGTCAAGACCTTTAAGACTTATTCTGCCAAGGAGAAAAGCTAAGCCTTGGAAACTGACTCATGTAACATGGCTTTTTCTCTTTGGTGTCAGACTTGTGCTTCCTGATCTTGGTGTTGAGATGTTATACATTAACCAGACTCCCTAGTCTTTTTTCAAACCTAGACTTAATGACACTGGAGATAGAGGCGCTTGTGATTGTTACCTCTTTATGCCAGAACGTTAAACAAATCCCTTAGTGCATAATCAATAGTAGTGTTGGGACTTGGAAAATAGTATCCCAAAATGAAGGCCTTAGAAGTAAAAATTTTTCTCTGGCCTTCTGTCCTCTGTCTCTCAGTCCCCTGTCTCTCATTCCCATTCTCCCCTGACCCTTTCCACAGAAACTAGAATCTCTCTTCCCCAGGGCTGGTCACAGAAACCAAGAATTTCTTCTCCCAAAAGCTAGTAATAAAACCTAAAAATACCACTCTAATTTTACGTCGCCTTTCTGTGTAAAACCTGGCCATTATCTGAGCTGGGTAAGGTGGCTCACACCTTAATCACAGCACTTTGGGAGGAAGGAGAATTGCTTGAGGCCAGGAGTTCAAGACTGTGTGGCACACAAAACAAGACACCATCTCTATTTTAAAAATTAATTAACTAAAAAATTTTTAAACATAAATTACCTGCTTTAACTTGTTTTACAGTAGGTCACAACATGCTCATTCCAGAGAGGGTCCTGCTCCATATCCAGAAAGAAAGGAAGGTATGCTCAGAGACCAAGAAAAATCTAGACAGACAGGCCTTGCTGGGCTTCCCCAGTCTATAAGCATTAAATCATACCCTTTTGTCCAATCATAATTCTACATGGCTGTCCGTACTTTGCTGAACCTAACCATAAAAACCAGATCATTTTCCTTGTATCTTTGGGTGTTCATTCCGAACACTTCTATATATGCTTAATAAATTTCCTTGCCTTTTCTCCTATTATTTCTGTCTCTTGTCAGTAATTTTCAGTGAACCTTCAGAGGGCAAAGTGGAAGTTTTCCCTTGCCCCTTACAGTAGCCAACCAAATCTTCTATCTGTATGTTAGCCTTTGTAAGGAAAATGTTGTAATTTTGTTCAGCATCTCTGTTCTTGCTTATATAAACTATCTTCATTCTTTTCCATCTGGGGAGCACTGACCACCATTCTTCAGTATAGGTTTGCTTCCCAGACAGCCACTCTCACACTCTATGCTTGAATCAACTCTTTTAACTAGCTATTGTGCCCTTTGATTATTTTAGGTTGACACACTATGTCAAGCATTTTACTAAACACTTAATTTTTTATTTAAGCTTTTGATTATATTTGATTTCATTTCACTTTAAGACAAGGTCTCACTCTGTCAACCAGGCTGGAGTACAGTGGTACAATCTTGGCTCACTGCAACTTCTACCTCCGAGGCTCAAGTGATCCTCCTGTCTCAGCCTCCCAAGTAGCTGGGACTACAGGTGTATGCTACCACATCCAGCTAATTTATTTATACATTTATTTTTGGATTCCACTATGTTGCCCACTGGTCTCCAACACCTGAGCTCAAGCAATCCACCTGCCTCAGCCTCCCAAGTTGCTGAGATTACGGGTGTGAACCACCATGTCTGGCCTAAACACTTTAAATATGATCACATTTAATCTCTCCTGACCTCTCTCAACCCATGTAGAAACAGAAGGCTCAGTGAGGTTAATTAATTGCCTACGATCACCAAGGTAGTAAGTGGCAGAGATGTGATTCACCTATAGCATTATGACAACCTAGAGGCCTGTGGTCTTAACCCCTACATGATATGGAACCGTGGAGTAGCAGCAATTGCTTTATAAAGCAGGATTTTAGGCCAGGAGTGGTGGCTCATGCCTGTAATCCCAGCACTTTGGGAGGTCGAGGCAGGAGGATCACTTAAGGTCGGGAGTTTGAGACCAGCCTGGCCAACACGGTGAAACACCATCTCTACTAAAAATACAAAAATTAGCTGGGTGTAGTGGTGCATGCCTGTAATCCTAGCTACTCAGGAGGCTGAAGCAGGAGAAGGGCTTGAACCCTGGAGGCGGATTTGCAGTGACCGGAGATCATGCCATTGTACTTCAGCCTGGGCAAGAGTGAGACTGTATCAAGAAAAAAAAAAAGGCAGGATTTTAAACACCCTTTACAGTCTGGACTCAGTTTACCTCCCCGCACTGAACTCTACACAATAGTGTTCTCTCACCTCTGGCCATTCCAAGTGCTATCACCTTCTTTTCACACCCGCCCAGTCCTCAAAACCCAGGCTCTCCCTCATCTGACTAATTCTTGGTCATCTTTCAAGTCTCAGTTTAGCATCATTGCTTCCAGGAAGCTGCCTGTTTTAAGACCTGATAAAGTCGTGCCCTTTCTGAAGACTGCCATAGCAATTTGTACTTCTCACACAATTATTACAAGATTATGGCACTTATCTCATTGTGGCAAACACTCATTTTGATTTATTTTCTGTTAGTGTTTTTGTATTCTCTACTTCATTCACTGCTGTATCTTTGCATCTTTCACAGGACTTAGCACGGAGTCAGCACTCTATAGCAAGTAACGTTAGTCAGTTTTGTTATTTACGGAGTTTAGTTTAGTGTTTGGCCTAAAAGCTCAAAAGAGATCAAGTGAATAAAGTAATGAATTATACTTTAATATAAACTTAGTACATTTGCTCATACTATACATGTTCTATCTGGATGCAATCTCCTGCCATCCCCAAATGTTTACATTGTGTGTGTGTGTGTGTGTGTCTGTCTGTCCGTCCCTGTCAAAACTATTTAAAACTGTAAGCACCTACAGAGTTGGCGGGTTTAGATTGTATTACCTGACAGGTCAGTGTGTTGCTCACACTGCCACCCTGTGTGTATGGTTCTACAGTTCGTAGATCTTTGTTTTCATTCTCGTGCACTCTGTATATTTTTAAATGTGACAATTCATTCTGCCTCATTTATCATGTAGCATTCGTGTTTCCTAAACTAAATACACAATAGCTAGATTAATAACGCACAACAGCCATACAGGGAAACTACACGTTAGAATCAAAGGCTTCTACGTTCTCTTTGTTCACTAATTATTTGTTATAAAAACATACACTACAGAGAGTCTTAATTACAGACGAGTGTAACTTACTTGTCATAAAAAGACTCCTGGGCCGCGTCAGCAAACCAGCCCTTACCCTGGCTAAACTGACCGGTTCCGGTAGGGCAGAGAAACTACAAATCTCTGCATGCAACACTCCAACAAGTGCTAAGGGGACCTGGGAAGAGTGTCGCGGTGCACTCTAGGGTTTGTAGTGACAAACTCAAGTCCGACCCGTCGCCTCCTCGATACTTACCGGACCCAGCCACTACCAAGATACTGAGAGACTCCCGGGGCGTAACGTCCCGGGAATGAAGCACTACCCATATTCGCAGGATTAGGAAGACGGCCACAGCTCCTGCAGCCGCAGCTAGAAGCACACACACCATGCAGAGAAACGGCGCATGCGTCCCACTCCCGGAGCTAGCCGCGGTCAAAGTTCACAACTACGGGTGCCGAAGCGACTCAAACGCGGAGTGACGCACCTCCTGGGGGGCTGGGCTTGCCTGAGCTGGGAGGAGTCGAGGGCCGAGGAAGCAGCCCGGGTCCTGCTGACAATTCATTTTACCTCATTTAGCATGTAGCATTCGTGTTTCCTAAACTACGCAATATCGGCCGGTCGCGGTGGCTCACGCCTGTAATCCCAGCACTTGGAAGGCCGAGGCAGGCGGATCACGAGGTCAAGAGATGGAGACCATCTTGGCCAATATGGTGAAACCCCGCCTCTACTAAAAATACAAAACTTAGCTGGGTGCGGTGGCACGCGCCTGTTGTCCCAGCTACTCGGGAGGCTGAGACAGGAGAAGCACTTGAACCTGGAGGCGGAGGTTGCAGTGAGCCGAGATAGCGCCACTGCACTCCAGCGGGACAACAGAGTAGGGCTCCGTCTCAAAAAAATAAAAAATTAAAATACGCAATACCTAGATTAATAATGCACAACAGCCGTACAAGGAAACTGCATGTTAGAATCAAAGGCTTCTACGTTCTCTACGTTCACGTTTGTCAGCGGAACCGCGGATTCTGCGGGGCTGCGGCCAAGCGTAAGCTGAAATAAGGAAAGTTAAGCGCTGGGGAAGCTTGATTTACGCCCAGGACGAGGTCAGGCCGTCTGTACGCCCTAAAGGCCCTGAAACCCCCTAGTTAGGAGATGTTCTGGCTCTAGCAACTTTGTGAATTCCACCTGAAGCTAAGGGAACACATCCTTTCTTCTTTTTTTTAGTGCTAAGAGAAATGGCAGTAAAAAATGTTGCACACACAGGCATTACTGAAAGTGTTCCGCCAGTAAGGACCCTAGGCTTAGACATCGAATTTAGGGCCCTAACCCCCTCTCTCCCAACACCTGTGTTTTTAACTTTTCTAGGTGTTTTCACAGCTCTCAGTGTGACCACAGTAGTTGAGGGTGACCACCTCAAGGGAAGCCACACTCCTGAGAGGTGCGGAAAGCTCAGGGGCTCTAGGTAGCAGGATAGAAAAGGCACAGTCCTACAATAAACATTCCGTTAACTTTACCACAAAGAATTTCCAGTGTGTTTCTCATGTCCTCAGCCAAAATGATGATCTGTCAACACCCCCTGCAATCCCAATTTTGCTTATTATTATGTCTAATTAATTCACATTACAACAACATAAAATACTAAGATTAGGAACCCCTTAACTCCAAATATTGCCTTCAGTCCACCATAGACCTACCCGTAGGTTACGTTGGACAGGTATACGTTGGACAGATGAGTGAACAGGTTCAGCAAGGTGTAACTGCTTGCCCAAGTGGAATAGCATCAGATCTTGAATCAGAAACCAAAAATCTAAGTCCTGCTGCATAGGAGTACAGCATCCTGTATTCCTTTGATAAATTCAAACGTGACTGATCACCACACATACCTGGAGCCTAGAATGTGTTTTTTTTTTTTTTTTTTTTTTTTTTGAGACGGAGTTTCACTCTTGTTACCCAGGCTGGAGTGCAATGGCGCAATCTCGGCTCACCGCAACCTCTGCCTCCTGGGTTCAGGCAATTCTCCTGCCTCAGCCTCCCGAGTAGCTGGGATTACAGGCACGCGCCACCATGCCCAGCTAATTTTTTGTATTTTTAGTAGAGACGGGGTTTCACCATGTTGACCTGGATGGTCTCAATCTCTTGACCTCGTGATCCACCCGTCTCGGCCTCCCAAAGTGCTGGGATTACAGGCGTGAGCCACCGCGCCCGGCCCTAGAATGTGTTTTTAAAAGCCCAGACTCCCAGGTCTTAATGGACCCTGGGAGTCTGGGCTTTTAACTTTTCTAGGGATCTATAATTCTAGGCACTGAATCAGAATTTCCAGGGATCGGGCACCTGGGATTGGCTTATGTAACCAGGATATCCATTCATATCAGCAGGCGAGTTTGGGAGACTTTGTAAGCAGAGTTCATGGACCTCACAACACTTTCCAAATTTTCTTCCATCAAATCTTAACCATACATTCTCGCAATAAGACCATAAAGTGGATATTATTTCCCTTTTGACAAAGAAGGAGATTCCATAAAAGTTAAATAATTTGCCTGAGGCTGTTTAGCTAGTAAGGGTGAAGAAAGTTCATAGTCGTGGACTTAGAAGTCAGTGTCCCTCAAATGTTAATGGAATCAGAATCCTCTGGGCTTACAAATGTATAGTATAAAATACTATGTATAGTATAGTACAGTATAGTATTTGTATACTTACAAATATATGGTATAGTACCTTTGGTGTAGTATGAAAACCAGCTCAAGGACAATACAAAGAATATTATTTTTTATATGCCCATTCTGCCATTCCTAATAATGGCTTCAACCTAAGACAGTCTCACCTCATACTTAAAAGAAGACATTAGTGGTCCCAGAAATTACATCCAACAGGGCAATCTCCATAGCCAAAAAAGAGGTTATCTTGTCATTGGGATGACCCAATGACACCACTTCCCAAGATAGAGTCTTGCTCTGTCACCCACGCTGAAGTTCAGCAGCACTATCTTGGCTCACTGCAACTTCCACCCCCCAGATTTAAGCAATTCTCCTGCCTCAGCCTCCCAAGTAGCTGGGATTACAGGCGCACACCACCACACCTAGCTAATTTTTGTATTTTTAGTAGAGACAGGGTTTCACCATGTTGGCCAGGCTGGTCTTGAACTTGACCTCATGATCCACCTGCCTCAGCCTCCCAAAGTGCTGGGATCACAGGTGTGTGAGCCACCCTGCCCCACCCCCCTTTTTTAAAGTCAAGGAAACCTATTCCAGAATCCCTAACAGCAGACTTTGTTTCACTCCCTTTGGAGTGAAAGGCATAAAAGGAAAGAGACCTCAAAGCTGGTGGAGGTGGGAGGAGGATGACCTACAACTTACCAGTAATATTGAGCTGTTGGATGGAGGATGGTATTGAACAAAATAGGCATTCTCTCAGTGAGGAGGAAGCTGCAGGAAGGACTGCTGGGTAGGCAAACAATAGCATCTAGATTGCTGTGATGATACAGTGTCTGAAACATCTTTGTAAACTGACATATGCAATGAAAACGTCACGCATGGCCAGGCATGGTGGCTTATGCCTGTAATCCCAGCACTTTGGGAGGCCCAGGTGGGTGGATTACGAGGTCAAGAGATCGAGACCATCCTGGCCAACATGATGAAACCCCATCTCTACTAAAAATACAAAAATTAGCCAGGCATGGTGGCACAGGCCTGTGGTCCCAGCTACTCAGGAAGCTGAGGCTGAAGAATCGCTTGAACCCAGGAGGTGGAGGTTGCAGTGAGCTGAGACTGCACCAAGAGGCAGAGGTTGCAGTGAGCCGAGACTGCGCCACTGCACTCCAGCCTGGCAACAGAGCAAGACTCTCAAGAAAAAGAAAGAAAAGAAAATGTCAGGCATATGATAATTACTTAGCTCCAGACCCCAGAACCTATATTACGGTAGATTTAATACTTAGAGGACACCCTTGCTTTTCCCATTACTTCATCCCCTCACTATTATAATTATGTATATCTGTAGGAAATATCAGTTTGACTACACTTGGCATGTAGCTGGAATGAATGGAGGCAATCAAGCATTGGAGGCTTGCCAGGAAATGCAGAGAATCAAGGGCGTGGGATAGCAGACATTGTTTGGAGTTATTAGTTGAGTTATTCTGAATTAAGGTAATCATAAAACTCTTCAGTTTTCCTTTTAAGGAAGTTGAGAACTGCATGGAGCAGCTAGGTAGCAGGAAAGGACAGGAAAAAAGCTGAAAATTCCTGATAAAAATGTCACCTGGGTAAGCCAAGTCCTGAACTGTGACAGACACAGAATGTATAGATGATCAAGGGGTCCAGAAGCTTTAGTAGGCCAGGCATGGTGGCTCATGCCTGCAATCTCAGCAATTTGGGAGGCCAGGGCAGGAGGATTACTCGAACCTCGGAGTTTGAGACCATCAAAGGCAACAGAGTGAGACCCTATCTCTATAAAAAATGAGAAAATTAATCAGACATGATGGTGGCGCATGCCTATAGTCTCAGCTACTCAGGAGGCTGGGGAGGGAGGATTGCTTAAACACAAGAGGTCAGGGCTGCAGTGAGCCATCTTTGTGCTACTGCACTCCAGCCTGGGTGACAGAAACCCTGTCTCAAAAAAAACAAAGAACAAAAAACAAAAAACCAGGTGTAGCGGATTACTCAGCAAAGTTAAGACTGAGCCAGAAGAAGCAACAATTAAAATTTCCCTTGGGAAGGTCAGTTGTGCCGACAATGCATTTAACAGATTCATGGAAGCAAATTATAGTGCTGCAAAAAGTGTGAAAACTGTGTTAATAGTTAACAAAATGCATAACGGTATGTGGTCTATAACCAATCATGTATGCCTGGGAGGCATTTTTTTTTTTTTTTTTGAGACAGGGTCTCACTCTGTCACCCAGGCTGGCATGCAGTGGCACGCTCTCAGCTCACTGCAGCCTCAACCTCCCTGGGCTCAGGAGATTCTCTCACCTCAGCATCCCGGGTAACTGGGACTCAGATGTGCACCACTATGCCCAATTAATTTTTGTATTTTTTGCAGAGTTGGGGTTTTGCCACATTGCCCAGGCTGGTCTTGGACTCCTGAACTCAAGCAATCCACCCACCTCAGCTCCCAAAGTGCTGGGATTACAGGTGTGAGCCATCTTGCCCAGCCTGGAAAGTGATTTTTATTCTCTTCTTAAATCTATTTCCTTAAATTTCTACAGCAAATATTACTCATGCATATTTTAAAAGTTATTTTAGAGGATCAGATAATTTTGCACTCTTCTGTAGGATTGTACATGTTAATTTATTCAACATATTTAATGAGCATCTGCTATGTGCCAGACACTGTTTTAGGTGCAGGGGAGGTCATATAAATAAGACAGTAGTCCAGCCAAAAACTTTAGACTAGGGAGATAAAAGTGGAGGTAGAAGAGGGCAGATGTGATATACATTTTATGGGTAGAGTCA